CAATTGATTACAGCTTACGAAAATACCCCTTGCCGACCCTCTATCTGTGACAAATGTGAATATTGGCACATCTTAGGAATAGAAAAGAATATCTTTAATAACTTTCTTTTATTTATAAGACTTGGGTATTGGTAAACACACGGGTTTATCACTATGCTGTTAATTAGCATGATATGGAGCATGGTGGTGTCATAATAATGCATTGAAGGTTGAATAAAAATACCATTGTTACCTACAATGATACCACGGTTACTAAAAAAGAACCGTGATGATACCAATGTCAGGAATGGTTATTTGATTGCTTTAATGTAGAAGTCTACTCATAAATTAAAATACCCAGAATTTATTCATTTTGCAATAAACTGTACTCCAAGGCAATACGAGGATATTGACCTAAAAAAAGTTGGGGGTCACCAGTCTTTTTTTTTTTCTCAAGAAAATGATGGTTGTATTTTAGTGGAAAGTCGCCATTTTGGCACTATTATAACACTTTTACCATATGTTCCTATGGCAGAGATATTATGCAATATCTAAAAATCTACCTTGTAACTGTTCCCCTCCATTTCACTCCACACACAGCAAAAAGAAACATCAAGATTTGGAGCTATTGTCTGATAGCTAGTAGTAGGTGTAATATGGTGGGCTAGTTCAAGTTGAATTCCGATTTAAAATATCTGCCACTAAATGTTTTCAAGTTCCTTACTGCATGACGATGCCATGGTCACTTTTTCTGTGCAGTTGCGTGTTCAGATATGCATGACTATTGTCTGAAGGTAGGAATGTTATTCGTGCCTCAAACTGTTTAAGCAATAGTTCCTGCAGATCGTCCTTCGCAGTGGAGAACCAGATAAGGTCAAACATTTATTCACTGTCAGCATAACATATTTTATTGGTATGCCTATTATGTCACTCTGATTAAAATCTGATGTATGTATAGCTCCTCCCCCCATTTATTTTCATTTTTTCATTGTTATTCTTATTTATTTATTTCTGAATATTTCTTTGGTTTTACTTGCCATTATCATACATATTTTGTAATTATAAATTTATTTCTTGTTAATAATTAATTTGTATGATTGTAATGGGACTGTGTATTAATTATTAAGTTTTTCTATATTTCATATCTCAGTCGTCTTTAAAAAACTAAAATGAAAGCAACAAAAAAGTCATAAACAAAAATAACAATAAAAATGTTAGTATAATAAATTGGAGACTATAACACTATTGATTTTAATCAGATTGCCATTACTGTTTCAGATCACTTGATTGAGTTATTGGCTTAAAAACTTTTATTTTCAGGTCACCAAGGTCAAATATCGCAGGTCAATATTGGCACTACACATTTTCTCAACGCAGTAATTCAGAGAAAAAATCTGGCAAAGGTATCAGTAATCAGATTATGTGGACCAGCTTCAACCAGCCTGCCACCATGCATTGATATCCCATCAGATCTGTCAAAGGTGAAAGTCATACATAGGAGTATACCTACGTAGTTGTGTGTTTTTAATTATTAGATCAAATAGGCATTATTTATTTATTTATTTATTTACTTAGCTCACAATTAAGGTCCAACTTGTACTCTTACAATTGCTTAAAAATTGAGTGCCATTCAAGCGTAAGTTTTCAACTGAAATATATTATATGACCATTGAATGTCAAAGCTAGGTCATCTTACATAACATAAGTTTAGTCAAGGAATTTTTGTAATTCATGTCAGGTATTTGTTTTTTTCTTTACATTAGGTAATATGTGCATCTACACATTTACTGCAAGGTGGATATGAATACGACGGTAGAGAAATAACATCTGTGGATGTACAGGAAGTTAAAAGTTGTATTCAATTATTGAAAGAGCAAGGAATTAGAAATGTGGTTGTTTGTGGTATATTCTCTCCAGTTAATCCAACCCAAGAATTAAAGGTATGTGCATTATAGATTATCATAACATATCTTGGATTCTTCATAAAAAGTCAACATCATGAAATTTTGTGGGGGTGAAAAAAATTTACATGAATGCCATAAAATCCTGAAATATATTATATGCTTTACAATATTGAACCAGTACATATTTTTAAATGTTTGGGAGGGCAATATCATTATTTGTTGCCTGTTCAAGGGATGGTGGTCATGATTATAATATTGATTGAGCCAAAGGCAAGGATATCATCAATATTATGGTCATAACCAACAGCCCAGGGGCTTGTCAACTGACGGCAAATCCCCTACCACAAACACAAAGTGCGAGAAGTGAGGACACTCCTCATCCCTGATGTCGTCACAACTATAGATTATCTGAATTTTAGGCAGTGATACACAGTTTAACTTAGAAAAAACTCACACAGGGTGAATAAATTATATTGTCCTCTTATTTAAACCAAATCTACAGTTTGGAATCCACCGTAGTGATCCCAGATACACTGTATCAGTGGCAGCTTTGCTGTTTATAGTTGTTTCATATAAAGAATATCCTAAACATCTAAACGATGTATCTTATTTAATATCCATTCCGGCATATTCACAGTCTATTTTGGAGGGCTAAAGTTTCTTCAGAACATTGAAAGCAACATCGACTGGGACAGCGGTAATGCAGATGTCATTTGTGTGATATACCAAGTGTTTTCTACTTAGCAGGCATTGAGATGTGATAATGATATACGAGTATAAGTACATATCATACAAGACCATTATTCAGTTATATGACCAGTATATAATAATATATATTTAAATAATAACACATGTATGTAAAGGTAATATCATGATTTGTTGCCTGCCCAAGGGATGGTGGTCATGACCATAATATTGATAATGCCAGAGCCAAAGACGAGGGCATCATCAATATTATGGTCATGCAAATCGTGATATTGCCCGAATAACCATGTGTTATTTATATTATCACATCGAGAAGACATCCACCATGCACAAATACATCGAGCCATACACCACTCACACCCACTCTCCCACAAAATAACAACACTTATATTTAAAGTATGGAATATTTAAAGTAGGCAATATTTTATTTTCATGTATTATAACAAGTGCCACATTACTCAATGTCATACATACATTGTTTGCTGAAAAAACTGCGAAATACACACAGTAAACACTATTTTCAGCCACGGATACTAAAAGTGAACCACTCAATTTATCGAGTATAACATTTTTGAAATGAACTGAGAAAATCTCAAACGCAAGTTATTTAACCACTCGCAAGATAAAAATGTCAGAGTGCCGTAGAAGTGTTTGAAATTACTTTCTCATGAACATACTACACCTTCTAGTCACAAATCACACAGTTTAGAGTGTTTTCGATTAGCATCGGCGTGGAGCGCGTAGAAATGCTCACAGCATAGAACACTGCCGCAGCGATTCGGCTGCGACGTTTCAGTGGCGGCTTTGACGTACATTTTTGCTTCATATAAAGAATACCCTAAACATTAAAACAGAGTATCTTACTTAATATCCATTTTGGCATGTTCGCTGTCTTTTTTGAACGTCTAAAATTTCTTTAAAACCTTGAAAGCAACCCTGAAAGCAACAACAAGCACCAGCCGGGCAAGCACCAGTGCAGCGAACGACAATTTGTTATGCGCAGTAGTTTCAGTGACGTCATCCATGTGATATACCCGTGTAATATCCCCTTGGCGGGCAATATACCAGGGATGTAATATACATTTTTATTCAACCAATCATAACAGGCAAAAAAGCAGTGAGATGTGATAAATATATATATTGTGATCATTAATTATTGGTATATCCTATGCAAAAATCATTCATTCATTCATTCATTCATTCATTTACTCATTCATTCACCTGATGTTTAGGTGGCCTCCATATTTAAAGAAGAGTACCCTGATGTCAGTCTAACTTTGTCACACACAATAAGCCAAATTGGTTTGCTGGAAAGGGAAAGCGCAGCAATATTGAATGAGAGTTTAAAGCCACTCTGTTTACAAACCATCAGTGCCTTTCAGACTGCCCTGCAACAGCTGGGACTTGATTGTCCTTTTTACCTGACCCAGAATAATGGCACAATTCTCAGGTAATACCGGTATACACGGTTTAATATACATCTAACATAGAGAAGCTTTACAGTATTAAAGGGAGGTGGTCGTCGTGCCGTGTCGTGTTCAAAATGGGACTAATAACAACGTACGCAACACATGTGAAATACAAAACATTGTTACATTTAATGTCATGTTTATGTATAATATTCTATTGTGTGGATGTTACCTGCATAGCAGTTTGCTCTTCCACTAACCAGTCATAATAGATTTCATGTGTATAAATCTTGTAATGCAACCATTATTTGTTGCCATTAGCTAGTTAAAGACATAGCTATGATTTACATAAGACAGAAATTAATCACACGCCATATTTGCCCCTATTGTAAACCTGTCCAAACTGAATCATGTGTAAATTGCTAAATTGTTTTTACGTTGCAAGTTGGAAACATTGATGCTCAGAGCATTTGGACCATTCAAAATCTGTCCAACCTTCTGGCGCAATATGCGCAAGCATACAAACGATGAACGTGCAAACGCTAACAACAATTGCGATAAAATCATCAAATCGTGAAAATACGTAACAGTGAAAATTACTGTAGGTAAATAGTTTACAGTACTCCTTGTACTTAATAAGATACTTTCTATTCCCTCTGCTCAGTGCTAAACACGTCTTAGAGTTTCCAGTGCGTACATTTTCATCTGGGCCAACAAACAGTATGCGAGGAGCAGCACATTTATCTGGAGTTAAAGATGCTATTGTTTTAGACATTGGTGGGACGTCTACTGATGTGGGTTGTCTGAATAAAGGACTTCCAAGGCTTGCTTCAACACATGTAGAGGTATGAATCTTCACATTTTCAAGTGTAGTGAAATAACATTATTGTGAATTACAAAAATTTATTGAGCTTCCTTCTTTTATGACTGATCCATTTTGCAGAGTGAAACCATTATCTAGTCTACTACTAGTTGACAATGAGTACCGTAATCATTCTATCACTTTTGCTGAAACAATAATTTTTAAATTTTCGTTCAGCAATCTGAACCTGTTCTGATGAATGCATTCAGTGTGACCTTTCCGCCTCAGTAGATGTTTTTTTTACTATTGACAAGGATTAAAACTATCGATACCGTAGTTAATCTGTGAGGTTTTTGACTCTCGTTTGCAAAGTTTGCAGTTAGTGTGTCTGTCTGTGTGTCTGTCTGTGTTTGTTCCACTGCTATCTCGAGAACCATACATCGTTTTTTGATGAAACTTGGTGCATAGATGCTCTGGGCCAATGCGCAGATTTGATTAGGTTTTGGTAAAAAGCCATGCATATTAATTACCTAATTTGCATGATAATTAGCTGATTTTTAGCTGTTCCATGACTGTTCCACTGATATCTAAAGAACCACTCATTCGATTTTGATGAAACTTGGCACATATATGCTCTGAACTAATGTGCAGATTTGATTAGTTTTGGGTAAAAATCTCTGCAAACATTAATTACCTAATTTGCATAATGATTAATCAATTTTTGGCTTTTTCACTGATATCTCAAGTACTACTCATCACATTTCAATAAAACTTGGTATGTAGATATCATAGAACACTGCACAGACCTGATAGTTTTTAGGGTGATATCAGTACATATTAATTACCTATTTGCATAATTAATTAATTTTCAGCTTTTGATATTTTAAGTAGTGATCATCACATTTTACTGAAACTTGGTACATATTTACTTAAGGACTGTGCAGAGACCTGGGTTTTGGGATCAATATTTGTGCATATTAATTACCTAATTTGCATAATTAGTTATTTCCCCCCAATGAATGTTCCATTGATATATAAAGAACCACTAATTAGATTTTAATGAAACTTTTAAAGAGTATTCATCATCACATTTTAATGAACCTAGGACTAAGCAGAGACCAAATTAGTTTTTGGTAAATATTTATGCTTATTAATCACCTAATTAAGATTATTAATTAACACTGATATCTCAATTACTGATCATCACATTTGAATAAAATTTGGTACATAAATGCTTTAGGACAATAGACAGGCCCGATATAATTTTGGGTTGAAATTTGTTCATATTAATTCTCTAATAATAATTCATAAATTTTTTGTTCTAATCACATTTCAATGGAACTTGGTACATATATATTACATTATGCAGGCCTTATTAGTTTTACACTCAAATCTGTTCATATCAGTTACCTGATTTACATAATTAGTTTTCAGCTATTCCATCAATATCTCAAGTACAAGTAATTTTGAATTAATTTTTAATGTGTTTGAAATACTCTCAGCACACAGGAGTTCTTTCCAAGCTTTCTTTGATTTTTTATTGACAAGGATTAAAACTACCGTAGTTAATCTGTGAGTTTTTTGTGTTTTGTTTCCATTTTTTAAATATGTTCTATTTGAAATTAAATCAATGGATATTTTTACTTCTACAATCAAGTTTCCGGTACCTCTGATGAAATATATTTTTTTTTATTCCAGTATCCCAGCTCCAAAAATAATTATTTGTTGTATATTGTCTGATTTCAGTCCATTATTTGTGTGAGCACCTGCATGTCTGCATCTTAAACATATTTATTGTTTAATTCAACTTTTCTATAGAGATATGACATTCTTTTACCGATATCTTCAAAATAATACACTGATGATCTTCTGGTAGTGAGATCTGATCTAAGTGATCGTACATGAATTGTGTTTTTAAGCTGGCTAATTTTTGACAAGATATCTTTGCTCAAATATTTATTTTACAGATTTTGACGGTAAATTCTAAAAATGGTCGACAGCGTTTTGCACTGATTTTGACAGTGGCTGTATCACCGATAGAAAATGTACTAATTCTAAAGCAGATAAAAACATATACTAATGTAGCACATTTTCCTTCAAATTATAAAAAAAATATTTAGTTGGGTGGAGTGAGAACCAACTTTAGGATGCCTGATGTGCTATGTATAGGACTTGGCGGAGGTTCACACGTAAATATGGTACAGAGTAACAATGGAAAAGTAAGTTGAAATAATTACATTATTATATGCTCCATTAGTAGTACAACTTGCCCTTGTTGAAAATTGCAGAGGTGCTTTTATGGGCAAAATAAGAAGCATTTTATGATTCAGTGTATTATATTTTTGGAGATGCGCTTCTAATAGAGAAAATATGGTGCTTATCTTGGTCAAGGAACACTTGTAAACACTGTATAGAGTAATGATGGCAAAGTATGTTATAATGTTGTTTTGTGAACAAAAAATACTCGTTATAGAGAACTATACCAGCTATATGCAGCTAGACGTTTTTAAAAACTGAAATGTGATTCGTTAGCAATTTCATGACGTCATTCCACCCGTCAGTCACACTGATACACTACAGGAATATTTTTCTACAGTGGCAAGTGATGGCGATCAATAAAAGTCCCTCGTGCTTTGCGTTATTTGCTTGATTTCGCAAAAGCATTGCGGCATTTGATTAAATCATGTTAGTGCAAAAAAAACATTAGGCCAGAGGAACTGTCAACAGTCTATATTCAGTGTGTGATATCAATCGTAGCTAAAGAAATTTACTCATATGTTTACTATCCAGTAAAATTTTTGAGTTTTACAAAATTCCAAACCATATTTCTGCATGATTATTTAGCAATGAATACTGTGTATGAGTTTCATTTTCAGCAGTTTCAGTTTCTTTAATAAAAAAATCAAACTTTTATTTCAGAAGTCTGTCAAAGTCGGCCCACTGAGTTGTGGCAACAATCTTACTGTCCAAGGGATGGTTTTTGGTGAACCAGTTGGTGAAAAGGTGTTGACAGCAACAGACATTGCAGTTGCAGCAGGACTTGTAAACTTAGGGGACCCTAGCAAAGTGGCACACTTAGACAAGCAGTTAATTGACAGTGCAGTTGAAGAAATGCATTTCATGGTAGAGTCTGCAATTGACAAAGTTAAGGTGAATAAACTTTCATTTCATTTTATTATATTTTGTGCACATATTTTATCTAACTTATTTTCATACTGATTTGGCTTCTTAATGCTCAATAATAAATTCTACTTGAAGTTTCAGACTTTTCTAACCTGGAAGAAGATCCTGTTCATTCCATAATTGTTACATGCATGTAATGCAATGCAAAATAATATCGTCTATGTTAGTTACATACACAAGTTGACCTGAAACTATGTCATTTGACTAGTTTAGATTAAAATGAATCCGCAATTAGAATACTCATATTTTCTGTAACTGATAAATAAATTGACAGCATTTTTTTTTTCCAACCAAAAGATCACCCACCTGCGGTGTATCGGATAAATACATTATGCTTTGCTATGGTCATATTTCAGTTCTCTTAAATTTCACATTTTAATGATTTTCAGCAAATGTTAACAACCAATTTTGCTAATAGGCTATGAGGATAGTGTTGCGCGCATGCAACCAAACTGTTCTATTTAAAATAACTAAGAATATTTTGCTATTGTTAGACTGACAGAAAAATACTCACAATTATTTACGCAACACTATTTTCTAAAGGGACTATTGCCATTACATTTTTAGTCCCCGTTCGAATGCAGTCCGAAAACAGGGACTTGTGTTTTGACCTCTGTGCGTCCATGCGTCTGTGTGTCCATGCTTCCGTCTGTGCGTGCATGCGTCCGGACCTGTATCTTCAAAATTCCTGGACCAATCACAATCAAACTTCACACGTACATCAAACATGATATTATACATATGCACATCAATTTGTTTCACAATCTGATTCAAGATGGCCGAATGGCAGCTATTTTTGTTCTGAAAATCATCAAAATCAAGCATTTCTCGGCTGTTTACTGATGGATTTTGTTCAAACTTAGTATATACGTTGGAAATTATAGGACCTTGATGCACATCATTTTGTTTTTCAGATAAGAATCAAAATGACTTGCTGTGACTGATTATGTTCAAATGTTAAATATTCATTATACATCATGTCATAGATATACAGATATATTGTTTTGACGATCCTATTAAAAATGGCCAAATGGTAACCATTTTTGTGCTAAAAAATCATCAAAATCAAGCATTCCTCAGCTGTTTACAGATGGATTTTGTTCAAACTTGGTATATCTGTTGGACATTATAGGACCTTGATGCACATCATTTTGTTTTTCAGATAAAATTCAAAATGGCCGACTGACGGCTATTTTGTTTTAATGAATGTGGTTCTAGTGACATATCTCTGACTTGCTGTGACTGATTATGTTCAAATGTTAAATATTCATTATACATCATGTCATAGATATACAGATATATTGTTTTGACGATCCTATTAAAAATGGCCGAATGGTAGCCATTTTTGTGCTAAAAAATCATCAAAATCAAGCATTTCTCAGCTGTTTACAGATGGATTTTGTTCAAACTTGGTATATATGTTGGACATTATAGGACCTTGATGCACATCATTTTGTTTTTCAGATAAAATTCAAAATGGCCGACTGACGGCTATTTTGTTTTAATGAATGTGGTTCTAGTGCCATATCTCTGACTTGCTGTGACTGATTATGTTCAAATGTTAAATATTCATTATACATCATGTCATAGATATACAGATATATTGTTTTGACGATCCTATTAAAAATGGCCGAATGGTGGCCATTTTTGTGCTAAAAAATCATCAAATATCAAGCATTTCTGGCATTTATGGATGGATTTTGTTCAAACTTGGTACATACATTAGACATTATGGGTTCCTGATGCACGTTATTTTATTATTTAGATCAGATTCAGAATGACTGATTAGTGGCCATTTTGTTTTAATGATTGGGCCTCTAGAGCCATATCTCTGACATGCTTTGACTGACTATGTTCAAATTTTATATATTCATTATACATGTATTCAAAATGGCTGCATGATTTTGTTTTAATTAATGCTGTTCCAGAGCTATATCTCTCAATACTCGTTTGACGATCAGATACAAATGTCAATCATTTGAATGTAAACAATCATCATAGTCATATTCCTGACATGTTTATATTCCAGCTCTATTACTATATACTAAACTATATATCTTAAATTTGATAACTAACGGGGACTGTGTCATGCATGGCTTGTTTGTTTCAATATCATTTGCTTTTAAAATATGTTTTAATGCATGGATTTACAAAGACATGTTTTTTATTTTGATCACTAGATATATACATGTATGTATGGGAAGCACATGCACCAAATATGTCACATATATGTAGTAGCCCCAAAACTCAAAGTGTTAAATTTGATATAAATAGCATGTGTTTCAGTTGATATTTTGACTTTTGATTTCTTGTATTTGTAGTTGAAATCCATGGACCAACCCATAATACTGGTCGGTGGGGGCAGCATTCTAGTTGATGAAAGGAGACAGTTACAAGGGGTATCTACTGTTATCAAGCCGCCACACTTTGAGGTAACAACCTAATTTTCATGAATGTCTGTATTGCACTCATCAACTGTATGTCTGTTTATTTGGGTGAATTGTGGGTAAGAATGTTGCATTCCTGTTTCTTGGAATTATGTGGTTCTGTTCATTCAGAACCAAGAGATGATGGTAGAAACAACTTTATTCACTGCTGTTAGTTATGCCTGCCCAGCGGCCATCTTGGAATGCAACAAATATACCATGTACATGCACATAAGGGGGCCTCTCACATTACATCACTACATTCTATCAATACTATTTTCTAAAGTATTGAATAAGAGAAATCACATAAATACTGTAGTTTGATGTATGTGATCTAAATATATGACGTCTGATTTTCTAAATGTACCGAGGGAGGGTGACAAAAATAAAAGCAAATTTTTGAAATTGGAATTATTGTGAAAATTTTTTGAATTTCAATTTGTGAACAGCTCAAGTTATTGCAGATGTCTAGGTTTTATCAGTTGTCAATCATCACATAGGTTGCAAATGCTGTAGGGGCAGCCCTGAGCCAAGTGAGTGGTGAAAAAGATGTGGTGGTGAGAATGGACAAGGCAGTCCAAGATATGCTGAATGAAAATTCAACAGACGATGAGATCAAAAAGGCCAAAGAAATTGCAAGACAACATGCTATCGATGCGGCAAAGAAAAAGGCAATCCAGGAGGCAGTGAATGCTGGAGCTGATGAGAGCACAATAGAGGTGAATAAAACTCCCATAGTCATAGCAACATGCAACATACAATGTGGATAAAATACCAAATTCTCTGTACAAGTATGACACTTAAGTCTTATTCTTGTCAACATTGTGTTTGAAGAATTTGACATCTTAAGTGATATGTGTACTGTAATAAATACAACATCTATGGGATTGGCATTTATCATTTAAAATTTATCATATGCCAATAGTCGAGCATAACTTAGCTGTTATTTTTTCAGCATCGTCATCAAGTCCAAAAATTGCATGGAAGATTCTCAGTTCAGCGATTAAAAATGGACTATATTACAAAATCCATATTCAATGGGAAGAATTTTTCATTAAGATTAGTTTGGTATACACACCTCACTCTTGCGTCGTTTCTGAATGGTCATGAGGTCCCTCCATTTTTAATTTGTAGGACAAATGTTTTACTCATGTTACAGCATTAAAGCAAATGTTGAACATTACCTTCTTCTTAGTTTAGTTGTTTTTACTAGTGCACTCCTGAAGACAAATTCTAACAGCAGTGCATGATGGGTTTTGTTATAGTGACTGAGTTTCTGTTACGGGTAAATTAGCTTTTGTCACATTGGTTAATACTCTGTTGTTTTTCTTTGCCAATTTTAAACTGGTTTAGCCACTTTGAGAATGGAAAGAAATGAAAAATCATGAATTGGTGGCAAAAGTGACATAATTTTTTGTAAGGAAATCTAAATGAAATGCAGTATTGGCAACTAAGGATTAGTAGAAACACAGAGTGACACTAAATAACTCACTCAATAAATGTTGAAATATATACGGTTTCAAGTAGTACTCACAAACACATGAATGCTGGCCAAATTTGTTACAGACAAATTTCAAGAACAAGCAAATTATTATTTCAACTAGACTATGAAATTAATACATGGGACTCTATGAGGGGAAAAGTAAAACACCCCCTGTTGAATTATAAAGAAATCAATTTTTTTTTAATGTGTTGAGAACTACATTTTATCAAATATATAAATAACAAAAGGTTGTCACTGACCTTTTTATTAATATATGACAGTTTTCTGTATGCTATTACATTGACAACACAACGTTCTCTTGCGCATTCATGTAAACCTGCAGGTTTTCGGACTGTATTTATCACCTAACGTTTGTGATGCTTGCATGCGTTTCACTGTCACTTATGAGGTATTATACATTTTCTTTGCCAAAACACTTGTACATTTACAATATCAAGTTTTTTTTTACTAGAACAAAGGAGGGAGCACTGCAATTTAGTGGCGCCACCAAGTGGGGGGAGATAGGGTTCTCTCTACGAGGGTGTGGAGTTTTTGATAATTCTAAGTTAAAATGGAGCATGCTATGGCTTCCTTTAGGCCAAAATTACTATCAGACAGGTAATAGTTGAAGACTGGCCACATGTGATCCCTGGTCAATCAGAATTTTATGGTTGCCAGAGGATCTGCTCCCCAGGATAAGGGGGCGCATGGCCATGACATGAGGGTGCTGCGCCCCTGTTCCCTTGTTTAAAAAAATCCCTGATATCTTTGTTAATTTTGGACCATGTGGCTACAGGTGTATAATAGACAAGTTTAGAGTTGCTGGGCATGTTTCATGGTTGTTATGTTACTGACCACATTTGTAACAGAAAGGGGGGGGGGGTATGTTGGATATACATGCTTGTAACTTGTCCCCCAGAAATGTTTAGCAATATGGGGATATAAATGTTATTTTGTCTTCATTCATTCATGTATAAAAATGTAAAAACACGTCAAAGGTACTGTCAACAATCTAGAATCAATTATGCGGTACAAAACTGAAGCTTGTATAATAACTGCCAGGAAGTGAAGCCCTGTTTATGCATTCCCCCAACATTTGCAGGCAGTGTAGCTTAGCAACCAGGGAACTTTAAGATCGCAAATAGATCTATTGTGGAAGGTGACAAAATTTGACTTTTAATAAACTTTTAATGCACAGATTACAGATTTTGAAGAAATACCGTTGACCTACCTGACTGGTAATGCAGTGAGATACAAAGTACAGGCCATAGGATCTCTCAAGTTAACTGATCAACAATGTCATTCTGCTACTGTTGATGTGGTTGTCAAGCAACCAGAGAAAGATGAAGCTCCTCAGGAAGTATTACAAAGTCAAGGTTAGTATGTACAGTGAGCAGTCTGTTACACTGTAACTCTTTCAATTGACTCAGTACTGTTATCTGAGCTCCTAACCAAACTTTTATTTTGTGATGATGATGATGATGATGATGATGATGGTGATGATGATGATGGGCCTGCTAGTACTGCCCCAAGACCATAAGAATAAAAGAAAATCACAAATTATTATTGACGCTTTGAAAATAGTCACCTACTATTTTATCAAATTTGGTTCAATGCATGGAAGAATCTTATTTTTAACTGCCAACATTATGGTGGAAATTGATTCAGCTCAGCAGTTCAAAATGAACAGTGTGTAATGTTTTGTTTGGTGATTTACTAAAACAAATAGAAGCTTAAAAGTAGAGGAGGTATGATATTGTATCAATAAGGATCAGTCAAACTGGTTAGCCATTTTTATCAGTACCAGGCAACGACTAGTGTGACTTCTTGCATTTAGAGTATTTACCATCAACCATGTTTATAATATTCAATGGTTACATTGTGTCCAACGTCATTTGAGTCAGTGTGTGTTACAGTGAAAGACACAAAGCTATAGGGCTTTGCTTAAAATGTATATATATATAAAAGTTTGTAATCATTCAAATATTCATTCATGCACACACATTGAAATGGGACAAAATATAACACCTTGGTATCCTTATATACATTGAATCCAATATTTCTGAAAGATAGTGACCATGGAACCATATTTATTTCAAAATTTAACTTGTGAAAATATTATATATAGCAACTATGGAACTCAAAACACTTATTAGTCAACAATTTGCATTTGTAACAACAATTGCATCTCTGATTTTCAGCTTGTGATCTGTTTAAAGTAGGGAATGCACCTGCACCATCAGAAGAGGCATCAGTGACAGTAGAACCATTGGCGGCGAAAGACAATGCCAGTGATGATCCACACATTGATACTGTCACAGGGGAATGGTTGCTATCAGAGCGAGACATCGACTGTATTTCTATAGGTGCTACTATTCTTGGATGTGGTGGAGGAGGGAATCCGTATTTTTTAAAACTGCAAACCAAACGTCAAATTCAAGATGGTAAAAGAATAAGAGTTATAACACCTGAGAGGTATGGTAGCTCAATGTAATAATTAGTAGTCTCAGTTTGCTCACCTTGTTTTAAACTCACAAAGGAAACAGTATATTTCACAGAATACATTGCACAATCTAAAATGTCCGTCATTTTTACTTTTAGCGAGACCCTTCAAAATATGTGGTACATCAAAATTCAAAAAAAGTATTGGTTTTTTGTATTAAACTGTCTAGCATCTTATCCCCACAATTCTTATTTTATGGTCTGATTTCCCCTAGTTATACACAATGTTTTCACTTTTTGTTTTCTGAAAGGCTGCATAAGACTGATTTAAAGCGAGAGGGTCGTCACCTACACATGCGCGAGAATTGAGTCCCAAACGACCATAACAACACACGCTTAAACACAAAGGCTCATGGGTAGACATGTGCAGATGACAACTCCCCCTCTTTAAGCTTTCATGGATTTCATAAATAAGTTTATTGAATATAACTTTTGAGCCAAGTTGTATTAATCAGGTACTTGTCATATTGTTTTGACCTTTCATCTAATAAAGTAGCTAGAGGGTACACACGTACTCGTTATTAGAATCTTGTGGTTCAGACACAAGTTTCTACACAAGTTGAAAGATGATTGTATTCTATATTTATTTTATATATTTTAAAAACTTTCACTAGATATGTACTTCTGCAATAATATTCATTGCAAGTGCATGTTTTTACTTTCAGAATTAATGATAATGGTATTGTTTCTTGTATTGCCTATATGGGAGCTCCGATGATAACGATAGAAAAACTGACTTGCGATAGTGAATTAGTTGGCTCTGTTTTATGCATGCAAAATATACTGAAGTCTGGTTACAGTGATGGCTATATTCAGGATGAAGGTGAAACAATTTACTGATAATTTATCTGGATTTTTTATCTCACTGTGTTCCCTTGGCTGTGATAAATACTGCTGTTTATGTTTTATTCTTGAGCTAGAGCTATATCACAGAATGTTTTATGTTGCTTGGACATGTATCACTGTACCATGGGTTTTTATGGGCTCTGTGTGAGCTGCTGTCGAACAGCATGTAGTCTCAGAACCAGTAAAAACAGCTAATGTCGAGAAAACAAAACAAACTCAACTTAGAGACAATCCAAAACGTCCCAATTAACTGTTATGTGTTGCAGTGGTCTTGTTACACTGTTCAAGAGAGCCTCAACAACTAACCCAAAAGTTAGTTCTTTTGAGAGTTTTGGGGCTTTGTTTTCAACGATGATGTTTGTCAGGCAGTGAAAATGCATGGATGTCCACTCCTGAGTGACAATTTTAGTTGATTCATTTTTAGTTTTTAATAGACTTAAAGATTGTGCGATTCAAAAATGCTTCTTTATTTCTATTCTCGAGATCATACATTACATTGCTGCATTTAAATACCTATCACATTCAAACTTCACACATATATTATATATCTTGGGATATATGTTTTTCCTGTTGCGTTTGGTTTCAAGATGGGTGTATATTGACCATTTTTGTGCTAAAATAATCATTAAAATTATGTCCTTCTGCCATTCTGGAACCAGATTTTGGTCAGATTTTCTGCAAGTTCAAGCATTAGACATTATTGGACCTTGATGCATGTCTTTTGTTTTTTTCAGATCAAGTTAAAAAACAGGTGATTGGTGGCCATTTTATTTTAAAGAATGATGTTCTGAATTTATATCTCTGATATGCTTTGCCTTTTCATGTTCAAACCTTATAAATTTCTTGATTGGAATTACCAAATAAAAATATGTTTTTAGAAGAGAATATTAGCGCCATCCTGACAGAGTGGAGCTATTCCTAACTTGCTTGTACTCTACTTTTTAATTCCTCCGAAAAAATGATAACTGTATGTCTCTGATTCTTTCCAGGGAGATGGTTCTTCTTCATTATTTTAGTGAATATTGTAATGTTTTGGTAAACAATGGAATTTTCGACTTTGTCCTAAAAACAGCATTTCACATTTAGATGAAATGGTGAAGACGATAAATGGTCACAGATATAATAACCTAATGATTCTTTCTCCCAGATGGAATTAATGTCAAAGAGATAGATGGACTCAGATATATTGATGACTATCACAGTGACTGTACATCAGTAATGAAACCGGATGCGACAAATACTTTGACTGCTCTAATGAGTGCTGAGATAGGTGGTCTTAATTCAATGGCACCGTTGTACGTTGGCAGTGTTCTAGATATTCCAGTTGTAGATGCCGATGGTATGGGAAGGGCATTTCCTGAGTTACAAGTATGCATTTATACACATTTTATTATGTAAACCTCTAGCAGCTTATTATCCAAAGTGAAAAAGCAATCTAATATTTCTCTTGTTAGTTGGAATAATGTAAACATAATACCATGCTTGCTAGAAAGACTTTCCAATGTACCCCTACCTCTAATCCTAACCTGACACCACTTTCTATTGCCCACTCAAATTAATTGCATATATCCCTCCTGAGAACATCTATACTTATCTAAAGTCTTTCTTGCTTGCTGCAAGTGAGCAATTTTCTAACTTTGAAGAATATTGTTATCGTTTTTAGTAAAAAAATGATATCATCAACATCAGTACTCTGGGTAAAATGGATTCCACTTTAAAAATCTGAAATTTGTGAAAAAAATCCCATACTATGAATAACAGTAAAAGCACATTAAGAGTGAAATACATAAAAGAAAACACTTCTGTATTCATTAATCCAGATCCAGATCATGATAAAAATGTATATAAATATTTGGTGAAACAAATGTTTTGTGGATCTCTCAGACTCAGTGTCAAAACCTCTAATTTTACATGCAGGTACCCCTAATGAAGCTTTCTTACATTTGGGTTTTGCAACCTGTATCATGATTTCTATCGGTGCAGAATATGCTGTAAATTACTGTTATAAAATTTCAGCCCAATAATATTTGGGTTCTATTTTTTCAGATGTTTGTTCCAAATATTTGTGGTCTACCTATGCATCCATGCTGCTTGTCAGATGAGAAAGGTAGAAGAGCTGTTGTGTTAAAGGCAAACACTGCGAAAGATATTGAAGATTATATGCGTAAAGTTGTGGTAGAAATGGGGTAAATATGGTTATGAATTTACCATGCATATGAGTGAGGCAAAATGGCTAAATTCAATTCGTGTTTATATGTTTCTTTACTTGAATTAGTCAGGTTCAGACCAAGTTAAACATTGTATGTAATCTATTTCTTACTTTTTCATTATTATTGGCTTTAAATATATCAAAAATGTAAGCAAAAATTGAGGTCACTTTCAAGAAACAGAATTTCATAAATACTTGCACCAGTTTTCATGGTAAAATTATTCCTTCATATCTTTACATTTTGCTTGGTGAGATGAGATGACAAAAGTCATGTATTATTGATATTATGGAAACATTTTAAAAAATTGGTTTTTAATATAGTGAGTTTTCAGTGTGATAGTAATTTTCTATTATATGGAATGCAAAGTTCTTTCCCATAATGCAATATATATACATAGTGCCCTGCTTAGTAGTATACAATTTGATTTTGAATCAAACAATAACAACATGAATTTTATTTGTAGTTTTTCTATTTACTTTAACCTACTCTTTAACACTAAAATGGATTGTCTTGTACTAGAGATGATAATAGTTTTCCTAACATATATCATCTCGCAGACAATACAAAATGGCATACAAAATAAAGTCAGGTATGAAATGTATAGTGATGTCCGTATTCACTATGTTCTCTTACAGATGCAAAGGAGCCCTTTCTTGTTGTACATTCAATAAAGAAGACATCATGTCCCACAGTGTGAAGTATTCTATCAGTAGAGCTTGGCGTCTCGGTCAAGCTGTAATTCATGCTAAGAGTATCAAGGCAGACCCGATACAAGCAATATTGAAGTGTGAAAATGGAAAACTTTTAATTAATGGAAAGGTAACACTCTTACCAGAAGAAATCATGTTCATACACAAATAAATCTGATCATGTCACACTTTTGTTTTACAGTTTTATTCAAGATGGTTGACTGGAGTTTCTTATTATTTGTAATAACATGCGTCTCTTACACGACCATTTATATTGGTTATAACATAGTATATAACTCCATAATATGTGTAATGTGACACAAATGCACATACAATTTTTTCCAAACATGATACGCATATAGAAATGAAAATACACGATATGACACATATAGAAAAATTAATAAACAGGTCTTGGACGCTTACTATCTCTTGTATAATAAAAATAAAATTTAGATCCTGCATTATATGTGAATCATAGACACAGAACAAACAAAGCTCATAGCAATAAAGATCTATCAAAACACTGTTTGAGATTAGACAAACGTATTTTAATATCGTGTTATGCACAATTGGCGATAGTCAATTTTGATGAGCTAATGGTATTTCAATGACATTTTCCCTTTGGAAAGGTCCATATGTCGGTATTTAACTAACACATTAAAATGTACATAATAGTGAATGCAAATTTGTGATTATCTGTAAATGTTTTTGCTATTCACTCAGATATCAGATGTTGCCAGGACCACAGAACGTGGGTTCAATACCGGGAAAGTGATCATAGATGGATTCGATGAAAATGCTGGAAAGACACTTCATATTGAGTTCCAGAATGAAAATCTGATTGCTACTCTTCACAGCGAGATGGAGAAACCTAAGGTAAACTTAATTGTGTAAAAGTATGAATAGCTTTTAACTGGCTCTGATCAAATGTTGAGATACGTTCTTTGCACTGTAAGCAAACCCACTGTGAATTTAGTATTTACTTCATTATGTTTATTTGACATAATTATGGCATTATCCCTCCACTCAACAGGTTTTAGCATGTGTTCCTGACTTGATCACTATCATTGACACCGACACTGGGGAGTGTATTCCCACTGATGAAGTACGATATGGACTACGTGTCACTGTGCTTGTGTTACCATCAGCGCATGTTCTAAGAACACCTACAGCATTAGAGGTGATTGGTCCACAGGCATTTGGATACTCAGAAGAAGTACAGTACCATCCAGTGTGTGACAGCTCTGCTTATGATCCAATACCACCAATGTAGTTCCTATTCATACAGTAAATATCATATACTGTATATCATGGTATATATAATATCCCTTTAATTGGTGTGAGAATCTTTAATACATATCTTTTAATACTCACAAAAAATATAAGAACACTCTAACAACATCAGAATTCACAAGCAATTTCACAATTCCGGAAGGTGAAAAAACACTCTGTACATGTACCTCGAATACAACATGTGTGTCATAGAAACGTTTTCACTGCGTGACAAAATATAAGTAATGGGCATGGTCTGAACTTGATTCCATATCTGAACTGACACATTATAAAACAGAATGCTGAATTACAAAAAAATCCTAGAAAAATAGGTTTAAATAAGGAAATAGTTGCCAATTCGTATTATAATTTGAACGAAGGCAGTAAGAACTGTATTCCTAATATTACTGGTATGTTTTGGGGTTTAAAATATTGGTCAACCAATTTTATATATTTTGATGTTGTGCTCCAATAGCGTGTACAACATTAGACAACACAAGTTTGAATAGATGTGACACTTTTAACATCAAAACATGTTTTTTTGTATAATTTTATTTTAGTGAAAATGCACAACACAGAATGGCAGACATGGCACTACTTCTATGATGGCGGAAGTGACGGTTCATTGCATTTTCTTTTACCATTCTGTGCAAAACATTGTACACTATGTGTGTTTTGTACTATAGAACGCAAAACTTGCCGAATCGAACAGACTCGAGATAATAACAATTCAGGGAGAGATAAATGGTCCCCCTGGAAACCAACCGGAAGGTGATGCCCTGCTGCAAGTAATACAATTACACTATCTTTCCTTTTGCAATTTAACACCACACACATGTCGATAATATAAATCAACATATGGTTAAAGTGTTTTGACAACTTCTGTGAAAGAGAGATGTCTGGTAAATAGTGATCAATGGAGACGCACAATGTTTACATTTAAATTCACAGTCAAGAATGTTTTTATTATGAATGTTTTTTATTAATGTTTTTATTAGCGTTTCAATGAATAATGCATAATTATGAATACATATGATATATGCAGACATTTTAATAAACTCTTTGAGTGCTATTTTTCCATCCAAAATGCATTGCAAATATTTTCACATTTTGAGAAATTTTCACTCAATTTTATCTCCATTTTGTTCCATATGGACAGTTTCAGATATTGTTTAAGTTTCGGACCAAAATATTTGTCAATTCTTATCAATCTGTAAACAATCATTTTGTCGATGGTGCGAACAAATATCGATGGCGCTCAATAGGGTTACTCTCGTAGCCATATTGTTCTGAACACCAAAACAGCAAGATTTCCAACAAAGTTGCTGACTGGTTTGTTATGCGCGTCTCAGGATCGTTGCATGATTATAACTGGTTTGTTCAAACCAAGGGTGCGCCATTTGGCTAAATGCGCTTATTTATTACGTTAGGACACGCACAAGACACACCATAGACTGTGTCCTGCATTTCATATAGTGTCAGTGCATACACTTTTTTGAATAACATATTTTATATAAAAAATTCTGTGATCAAATGAAAACCAATTGAAAGGCAATCGGATCATGGTCTTCTATTTATATTTGACGTGTCCGAGTCCCCCACTGTTAGTTTGACGTCTCTTTTTGAGGTTGGTTTGACCCAAATTATTTTAATCGCAACAATGTCCAGTCGCACATAGCGAACTACTCAGCAAAGTAACTGGCAATGTTGCTGTTGCGGTGTTCACAACAATATGGTGGTGACGGTGAACAATGTTCACAAATTGTACGTGTCAATAATTAGATGGGTTCATGGGAGAATAAATACAAACATTATATGAGAGATTTGGGTTATGGACTATAACGGTATTTGATTAATTTACTCCACATAGAACAATGTCACATTGGTAGGTTAACTAAGTGTGACAATAAATAAAGAATAATGAAGTATGCATGGAATGAAGAAGAAATTATTAGATGTACATATTCTCTTAAAGCTTTACAAAACGTCATTGTTGTGTATATTTACCTACATTGTTGTATTGTATTGCATTGTGGCAGTGCACAATACTCAAAAGCAGACATGTTTAAGATATTACTGAAAACGTTTAAAGAACCCAGACTGTCGTTGGACCATCCAGCTCCGTAGTGCACCATCAACTTGCATGGTCTGGTTAGCGGTGTGAGTCATTATTAGGTAATTAACAATGACCTACAAGTCCAATTCATATACCAAATATCTCCAATCATTTACTAAACTTAGCCAATCCTAGACCATTGTGATAAATCATATATCAAACCTAACCATTCGTAGACCATTGTGATAAATCATATACCAAATGTGCCAAATCATAAACTAAACTTGGCCAACCCAAGACTATAATGATAAATCATATACCGAATGTGCCAAATCATAAACTAAACTTGGCCAATCCTAGACTATTGTGATAAATCATATACCGAATGTGCCAAATCATGAACTAAACTTGGCCAATCCTAGACTATTGTGATAAATCATATACCAAATGTGCCAAATAATAAACCAAACTTGGCCAATCCTAGAATATTGTGATAAATCATATACCAAATGTGCCAAATAATAAACCAAACTTGGCCAATCCTAGAATATTGTGATAAATCATATACCGAATGTGCCAAATAATAAACCAAACTTGGCCAATCCTAGAATATTGTGATAAATCATATACCGAATGTGCCAAATCATGAACTAAACTTGGCCAATCCTAGACTATTGTGATAAATCATATACCAAATAATAAACCAAACTTGGCCAATCCTAGACTATTGTGATAAATCATATACCAAATGTGCCAAATCATAAACCAAACTTGGCCAATCCTAGACTATTGTGATAAATCATATACCAAATGTGCCAAATCATAAACTAAACTTGGCCAATCCTAGACTATTGTGATAAATCATATACCAAATGTGCCAAATCATAAACTAAACTTGGCCAATCCTAGACTATTGTGATAAATCATATACCGAATGTGCCAAATCATGAACTAAACTTGGCCAATCCTAGACTATTGTGATAAATCATATACCAAATGTGCCAAATCATAAACTAAACTTGCCCAATCCTAGACTATTGTGATAAATCATATATCAAATGTGCCAAATCATAAACCAAACTTGGCCAATCCTAGACTATTGTGATAAATCATATATCAAATGTGTCCAATCATAAACTAAACTAGGCCATTCCTAGACTATTGTGATAATATACCAAATGTGTCCGATCCAATACCAAGTTAAACCAACCCTAGACGACTGTAACTTTTGTGATCAATCATACAGCACATGTTCAATATCTGTTATTGCCACACTCCTCGTCTTCTTAAAACACACTTGTCAACATAAGTGAAATACGGTCATTCCCAAACCTTCAATCACCTTACTCTTCACATGTTTCTCAATGTTCTCAAATACCCTCTGACGTTTTTTGATTAGCTATAATAATAATTTGAGGAAATTGTTACATCGTATTTTTCTTGCCGTTGACAGTGACAACTGTTTTAAGAAATTTAAACCCCAACTGAGGACCTGAGAAAGTTATACGTATGTATTTCAAAACACGTGCGATCTGGCGTGTTTTATCATTTAAAACGGGTCATATCGTTCCTGTATTTAAATCCAGTTTTCTAGTGCCAGGTTTTTAATGAACTGAACGAGAAAATAAAACTGAGTTTTACCTATAAAACCAACATGCTGTCGAAACAGATAAAGCTTCTGGTCGCGAAGTAAAGTATTTTTTCTAACCATCTTCACAATTCATTGAATAGTGCATTATCACATACCATAAATATTGTAAATAAATACATACCATATAATAATATAACTACCATAAATATAGCATTGACAGTTTGATATTCTAAAAAGTGCACCCATGTGAAGTTAATTAATTATTCTTGGTTATACAACAGTTCTCTGCCCCAGTATGCTCATGCTGCGTTATCGTTTGATGCTTTAGCTAATTTAGACATGGTGACAATTGAACATGCTGAAATGGGTAGTGTTAGACATTAAACTGCACTAACAATATGAATTCACCAAATTTTATCCCATTTTAGCAAATTAATTACCGTAGATTATATACTTAATAGTATAAGACATTGAACGACATACACGGTATACATGTGCCAAGTTTTAACTTATTAAGAAAAACAGTTTTTAGGATATTAATAAGAAATGTTAAAAATAGTTAATTAGTAGCTAATTATTATGTATGGATTTTGGACAAAATCTAATCAGGGCTGGGGCACCTTACAAAGTATATGTGTATTAAACTTTATCCAAATCCACTCAGTGGTTCTTGTTACATTGGTACGAATGTATGTGATACACACATCTATACCGACAACCATCAGTATTCACGACAAAAAATGTACATGTTCAAATGTCTATAATATTGTATAATTGAGGTTGTATGTTCTTGTTTTTCTTTAGATTACCCGCTGTGAAACATCTCTCCATGCTTTTAATAGCGATTCATACTAAATTACAATTGTGTGTGTTTGAATAGCAAAATTCCTGTACATACTCGCATGTGTGTATATTTGGTAAAATAAAAAAAAAAAACTTTAGCAGAACCTTAATCATATCGAAATGTTTCATAATTAATAGCTCCCAAGTCACATATGCAACATTATCTATGGCTTTCAAATTACTAGCTAGTACCACTCACTCAAGACAAATTTGACTTCCATATGCCATTTGACCAATACTACTTTATTCATACGCTATTAGTATGGAAAATAGTTATGTTATGCTATCCATCATTTATCAATTGTTTTAATATTATATACATGAGCTATCATTATGAATGTTGAACATCTTGGAGGTGCAAATCTTAAATTCTGAATAACTTATCCTGGGTATGTAGTATATATCTACAGTATTATATCCGTAGTATAACAGTTTCACTAAGCATACTATACTATATTATACTATATTATAATTAATAGCATATCATTGTCCATATTTGGTCAATGAGTTACGTCACTGCTACTACACGCCATCAGGCTTTTAGCCTTATATATTTAATAAGGATACAGAACTTACTATCGAGTCCCTGTCCTATCTAGTACGTTACTATCTAAAAGAAAATAAACCTCGACATGCACGTTTTAATTATTATTTACAATTTTCAGCAGTTCTCTAAAAACTGGTCGCTATATATGTAAAAATTAATTATATATCATAATAAAAATAATGATTCTCCAGCAGGGTAATATTGGATTCAGAGTCGAATCTACGCTATTATAATATAATTATAATATTTAAAAACTATTTGCTGCACATTGATGAACAGGTTTATATTCTGTGTAATCCGCCACAGGATGGTACTGAACATCTTCTGGATATCCAAACGCTTGTGGACCAACGACCTTCAATGCTGTCGGTGTTCTTAGAATATGCGGTGATGCGAACACAAGCACAGTGACACGTAGATTATTTCGTAACTCATCAAAATGAATAGCCTCCCCAGTGTCAGTGTCAACGATAGCGATCAAGTCAGGAACACATGCTACAACCTGTTGACAATTGAACAAGCATGAGTACAATGTAATTTAACGTAGCGATATGTTTAATCGAATGAATATGAGGAAATAACAGTAATATTTAAGTTGAATACGATGTTACACCAGTAGTATGTTAGTTGTATGTTTGCTAAGGTACAGATGCAATGAAACTATGCAAGTTTCTTATGGTGGCAGTAATGGCAATACTATAATACTTGTAATGCACATTCACAGCAAAAAACTGCCATCTTACCTTAGATTCTCCTGTCATGCAGTGAAGAGTTGCAGTCAGATTTTCGTTCCGGCATTCGACACGAAGTGACTGACCAGCATATGCGTTATAACCATCAATGATCACTTTTGCTTTTGAGAATGCGCCTGACAGTTTCGTTTTACATCCGA